TTTCGTAACATCAAGTAATTATTACTTTTCTAACATTATGATTACGATATTAAATGTACTTCTAACATCTTTTGCGTCTGCCCATTTGTCGTAATATTTGTCGTTTAGAGAAAGCGAACAATCTCCGAAGTACTCTGTATATACATATCTAACCACTTGTGTATATAGGATATACATGTGTGTTTATGTGTATCGCTATTTTTGGCCGGATCGAGATACGACCCCAAAAAGCTATCGGTACAGCCGTCAGTTGTCGCGAAATCCGGAAGCCGCACCCGTTTCGAGGGCTGGACATGGACGTGTGCGGCCCCTTTCTTTTTATGAAACTTCCGATAAACGCCCGCTGGCAAGGATTTCCGTTTCATTCGTCAACCTGTCCGACCCGAGACCTACGCGCGACACTCTTCTCTTTCTGCCTCTTTTTATCACTTTTCGAATATTTATTATATTTTTTCTCTCTCGTTTCATTGTTACTTACGTTTTTTTTCTAATGAAAATATAAATCATAGAATACCGAAATATTTTAATCCTCATAAAGCACATTATTAACATAAATTGAAATGATACTATCATTAAGAATATACTTACATTTTAATTGTACAAATTTTCACCGCATTGATTTATAATTCAAGTTCGATTCCAATATATGAATCTGATTTCTATAGAAAATATACTTCTATTTCAAATTTCTATCTAATTTTCTCCAAATTATTTTGAATTTAAAACTTTTTTTTTTAATTTACATATCTACATTCTCTCGGATGCGATTCATTCATGGTACCAAATATCGAAAAGATATGAATGCACGTAAATCGTCAGGTTACGGCGGACAGGTCTACAGAGTGTTTCCCTCTAACTATGGCAGCTCGGAACTTCCGGTCAGAGCATGTCGATAGAGACAAGCCACACCATTAAGCTCCGTGATACCCCATACAAATCACGTCGATCCACGATTTATGGTCCATTCACCCTCTCTCGCAATCGCGTTATCAGCACCGATAGTTGCACGCCCAAAACGAGGCTTCTCCATGAAAATATATCGCTACGACGATATATTATATATATATATATA